TACCTCTAATTCTTGGGTTCCCATTTTAGCCATTCCCAATGACGGCTATGAGGTGATTGATACACATTTTTAGGTTGCCAAAACTAAATCTGATTGTTTCGAAGAGGGCAGTGTCTAGAGGAAAATTTGCTTAATAATTACTTGTTTCTTCGTTGTCATGGATACATCTTTATCTTGGTCATCTGATAGTTCATTAGACGAACATTTGATTATCGTTTAATCGAATCCTTTACTTCCCTATTAACTCAATGAAAAAATAACTCACCTGAACATCCACGATGCTGGTGAAATCGCCAGGCTTCTCCAAGCTGTAGAAGCCGTTCATCTCCATGGTTTGGCGTACAATCTCGTTGGCGATCTGATCGCCCCATTCGTTGATCAGTGGCATGCTGATATCATCGATGAAGACAGTCATTTTCTTGCCAGCCGGTGGGCCATACGTCGTTCCAACACGCTTTTCCACGAAACTCTCAATTGTTCGCTGAAAAAGAAATTACAAATAAATGGGAACTTTTAAATCATCAGAGTCCATATGGGTCTGGTCATAAGATCTCATATCTTCATAGACCGTAGTAGGGCATAAACAACAAGGTACATGTGAAAGGGAAGCGGTTGAAGCGCATTTTGTCTAGTGACAAGCTAGACAACTACGAAGGAGATACACAGTCTCGAGTAGAAGAGAAAAATCGAGCAAAAAAGCCTACACCACTACTTTCAAAGTCGACAGTAGATTTTGAATAAAAATTACAGTCACGCCAAATGGCATAAGGTTATGCAGAACAGTCGGTTTAATTGTCCCAAAATGGCAATCTCTTGAAAAGTGTGATATGGAAGAGGCATGAACTTCCTTTAAATTCACGTCTCCTCTGTGCCCCAGGCCAACTCGTGGCAATTTGGATTGATTGTAACGCGTCGAGATTATACACAGAATTATCCGGGTTCGAGTCCTGTTGAGGAATCCAGTTCACTCTGGATGAAAATACCTTTTGAAAAGCAAGGCTAAGTGATATGTAATCAAAATTTGAAGCCTATCATATAATTGTTATACAATTCAACTGCCAACGCTTCATCACTTTATACGTCTTGAGGAAAAACAACTATTATTTAAGGTCTACGGTTAGTTAGAAAAGCTACACTATCTGCAGGTTGTAATGGCAAATACAAGTTGGCTTCATCGACACTTCTTCCCAAAATGCGTTATGGAGGAGGCCTGGCTAGTTTTTATATTCTCGTCTGCTCTGCGGCTAACTGGCACCCGTTGCAGTGTTGAGTAATGGTACCATTTCGAGATTGTGTGCTTCTGTATGTCAAATATAATGATAATAAGTGAGTAGGTTTACGAGATTAACAGTAAATCAGTAATATGAGATGTATTCACCCTATTTCATTTAAGGTGATGAAGGACTGGCAGTTGAATTTTCCCACAATGATATGAGAAAAGCCTATGTTTTTCCATTTACTTTCACATAGCCTTGCTTTCCCAAAAGGTGTTTTCATTCAGGCAGAAGAAGACTGCAGTTTCGACCTCGTCTAGGCCTTATCAACATCCCAAACGGGAGTCGAGCCATGACAGTACATCGTGTAAGCTCGACGCATGGGAAAAGTCAACTACCAGTCCTTCGTTACATTAAACCAAATAGGGTGAACACAACTCATGTACTGATAATACGCATGCATGCTCGGAACGACCACCAAACCCTTGAAGAGAATACCTTATGGGAAGCAAGGCTTAATGGTGCTTAATGGTATTGTGAGGCCTATTCAAATGATTAGGGGAAAATTTGAATATCAGTCCTTTATCACTTTATGCAGCTGAGGGTGAATACAGTTCGACCTCGGATAGGTCTTATCAGCACCCCCAGCGGGACTCGAACCATGATAGTAATTTCGAAAGGTTACCCCCTAATTCACATTGCCGCAAGTGCCATTTGGTCACAGGGCAGATTTAAATTCCAAGGAAGGCCATGTATCATCACCTTGAATGAAAGAGGTTGAATATATCACATTTAGCAGATTTACTGGTAGTCTCGAAACCCTACTTATAAAATAAAAATAAGCAATGTAATCGATTGTCATAATAAATATAACCATGCTTAATGGACATTCCCACTAAAGAATATGATATTGGAAAATACCTGGCCTTTTTGAAATTTACATCTGCTCTCTCACCCGCAGACACTTGTGGCAATGCGTCGTAGTGTTTAACGTACCGAGACTAGACGCTTCACCGCCATGGTTTGAGTCC